GCCATCTTCTGAGGCTGAGAGAGTGTGACTTGCTCAAGGTCACCCAGTATCTCAAATCAGCTGGCACTCAAGAGAGAATGCAGGAAATCCTTCCATTCCTTTTATGAATATATGCAAGATCTTTACCTCCTTCATGTATTCTTTGCATGGTTTTTAACATAGTTATGCATTCTTTGCATGATTGTATTATTAGATAGATAGATAGATAGATAGATAGATAGATAGATAGATAGATAGATTATAATGCAATCATGCAAAAAATGCACAACATTATGTTAAAAACCATGCAAAGAATACATGACGGAGGTAAAGATCTTGCATCAGGACAAGGATGTTCCTAGCAGAGCTAAATAATCTGAAGTATGCTTTTTTTTTTACATTTCCAGTTTCAGCGGCAGAAAGAACCGCATTATTAGAATTCGGCACCTGCTCCTTAATTCGTTTGCCCAGGTCTGGCAAAATTAGGACTGACTCCAACTATATTCCCAACTAGGGGTAGAAATAATATTTTTCACTATTGATTCCTGGTGGAATTACAGCTTTCCTGATACTTAGTAGGAAGAGTAGAAATTGAGTGGCAGTGAAGTGCTTCGGTCTTTGCATTTTATTCATCTTTGCAGTCAGGAATTTATCTGCATAGAAATACACACATGTGGAATAATATCTCCCTGTGCAGGAAATGCATTTTCTGAATAATAATAATAATAATAATAATAATAATAATAATAATAATAATAATAATTTGCATGGATTGTAGAGCCAATGTGGCATAGTGGTTTGAACAATGGCCCAGAACTCTGGAGACCAAAGTTTGAATCCTGGCTCATCCATGATGACCCAGACAAGTCACACTCTCTCAGCCTCAGAGGATGGCAAGGGTAAACCTCCCTCTGAAGAAACTTCCCAAGAAAATCCCATGATAGGTTTGCTTTAGGGTCATCATAAGTTGGAAACCACTTGAAGGCACACAACAACAAAGCATGGCTTATACTTCTGTGCAGATGGATTCAATGGAAAACTTCACAAAGTGGTAAGAATTCATTGAGAAATGTACAAAAAATATGTTTTTCCCTTCTCTGCAGTAGGAAGAAATCTGTGGAAGCTGCACATCCTTCCATGCAAAGGGTAAGAAATGCAAGATCTCCATCCTCAATTCCAGCAAGGACAAAGCCAATGAATCAATGGGACTTTGGTCAATCGATGCTTGGGTGAGTTCCATTGTTCCAATGGGCCTAGTTCAGTTGGGATTGGAGATATGATTTTGGGGGACTATAGGCCTGTCTGTTTGCCAGGAAGGAGACTTATTTCCATCTCTCTGTGGAAGAGAACAATCCGTGTCCCAGCTCCATTTCAGCCGCTTTGCTCTTTGGAGATTCCCATCAAAAGGGAGGCTGTTTATTCCTCTTGCAGCTGCAGCTTTGCAGAAGGTCCTCCAGGAGCATTTGCCACTTTGCCTAAATGAGGATCATTTTTTCCCTGGGAGAACGGCTTAAGTGCTAATAAAACCCATTAAAAATTAATTTTCCATGCTGTCTGCTAGAGGTTTATTTTCCCCTCTGCCCTGGCCTAGGAGTGTGTTCAACAAGCAGAACTGATAAGCAAAATCCAAGCGGCATCTTCCATGCTAATGACTTTGAACCTCCATTTGCAAAGATTGCTGGGGAGGCATTGCCAGGGACCATTTATGGAATTATTGAAATCCTGGCTTTACTTGCTTCCCTGCGAAAGAGAGGTCTTGCCAGTTGCCTGGTGGTTCTCATCTGTTGTCCTACTTGGAAAAGCAACACATGGAGAGAATAATCCACAAATGTTGCCTCCGCAACCTTTGCTCAGTCTCTCAGCATTGCCAAAAAATTAGGATTTGTTAGGATTCTGATAGAAATAAAGGGAGCAGAAGTGAAACCATGCTGGAACTGCTCTCTTCAAATGTTTAAAAGGATATTATGGAATAGAGTCGCCAATTCCTGGGGAAGTTTTGGTAATTCTT